ATCTTGAATTTTAAGTAATATGCATCAATAAACAGTATTTTATGCTTAAAAATGGGCTTTAAGATTTTTTATCAAATGTTTTATAACATAAATAGAAGGGTACTCATGCAATGCAATAATATATATCTCGATTTTAATGTTTTGTTTTATTCTTTGTTTCTATCGATTTCATAAAACGGTTTTATATGGTTTTAAAAAAACAATAACGTTTTTATTTTTGAATAAAATATAAACCTGAAGATATTTTCAAAATTTGAAAAAAAAATAGATATTAGTATCAAATTAACTATTTAAAAGTTCTTGTTTTTTATAATTTTTTAATTCAATTTTTTATTATAATTTAATTTAGACTTAATAACGATGTAATTTATTCTTGGTTTAATAATACAAGTTTTTATAAAAACAATAATTAAGTATTCTGTTATGACTCAATGATTATTGTAATTATATTTTAGTTTCTTTATATTATATTGAAATGTTTATCCTTATTTGATTATGTTCATCTACTGTTAGTTACACAGATTCATACATTAAACTTTAATAAGTTGTATTTATACATAATTGTAATCTTGAATTTTTAAGTAATATATACTATCTTATAAAACATTTACCTAAAACTCTTAAATACTCTTAAACCCGTTCATCCCTAAACGATTTCATCCATATCCGATTTCATCCCATAACTGAATTCGTGTAACTAACTGCAGATAAACACAATCAAATACATGATAAACATTTCATTTTAAATATAAAAATCTAAAATATAATTAGGATAATCCTTGAGTTCTAACAGAATACTGAATTATTATCTTTATAAAATGTTATATTATTAAACCAAAAATAAATTATTTTATTATTAAACTTAAATTAAATTATAAAAAAAAATTATACTATATTATAAAACATTTGACAAAAACTCTTAAAAACTACTTTTTAGGCGTAAAATACTGTTTATTAATGCATAGTACTTAAAATTCAAGATTACAAGTAGATTGTGCATAAGTACAACTTATTAAAACTTCATATCTGAATTCGTGTAATTAATTGTAGATAAACATAATCAAATACAAGATAAACATCTTATTTTTAATATAAAAAATCTAAAATATAATTAGGATAATCATTAAGTTCTAACAGAATACTTAATTATTATCTTTATAAGAAAATTATATTATTAAACCAAATATAAATTACTTCGTTATTGTACATAAATTAAATTATAACAAAAAATTGAATTAAAAAATTACACAAAAAATGAGGAATTTTAAATAGTTAATTTGATACGAATATCGATATATTTTTGTTATGCATAAAGTATTGTATATTGATGCATATTACTTAAAATTCAAGATTACAAGTAATTATGCAAAAGTACAACTTATCAAAGCTCGATTTTTGAATTCGTATAACTAATTGCGGATAAATCTATACTATCTTATAAAACATTTGGTTAAAACTCTTAAACTCGTTCATCCCTAAACAATTTTATCTCTATCCGATTTCATCACATATCTAAATTCGTGTAACTAACTCCAGATAAACACAATCAAATACATGATAAACATCTCATTTTAAATATAAAAAATCTAAAATATAATTAGGATAATCATTGAGTTGTAACAGAATACTTCATTATTATCTTTATAAAATGTTATATTATTAAACCAAAAATAAATTATTTCATTATTAAACTTAAATTAAATTATAATAAAAAAATAAATTAAAGAAATTACATAAAAAATGAAAATTTTTAAATAGTTGATTTGACATTAACATTGATATATATATTTTTAAATTTTTATGATATCTTCAAATTTATATTTTATTCGAAAATAAAATTATTATTATTTTTTAAAACACATAATCTATACTATATTATAAAACATTTTACAAAACTCTTAAAAATAATTTTTTATGCACGAAGTATTATTTATTGATGCATATTACTTAAAATTTAAGGTTACAAGTAAATTATGCATAAGTACAACTTATTAAAACTCCATACTTGAATTCGTCTAACTAACTGCAAATAAACATAATCAAATATTGGATAAATATCTCATTTTAAATATAAATCTAAAATATAATTATGATAATTATTGATAACTAACATACTTTAATTAAGAAAATTACACCAAAACACAAGAACTTTTAAAAAGATTAATTTAATACTGATATCGATATTTCTTTCAACATTTTATGATATTTTTAAATTTACATTTTATTCAAAAATAAAAATATTATCACTTTCTCAAAACCACATAAAACAAATGTTTACTTAAAATTCAAGATTACAAGTAAATTATGCAAAAGTACAACTTATCAAAGCTCGATTTTTGAATTCGTATAACTAATTGCGGATAAATCTATACTATCTTATAAAACATTTGGTTAAAACTCTTAAACTCGTTCATCCCTAAACAATTTTATCTCTATCCGATTTCATCACATATCTAAATTCGTGTAACTAACTCCAGATAAACACAATCAAATACATGATAAACATCTCATTTTAAATATAAAAAATCTAAAATATAATTAGGATAATCATTGAGTTGTAACAGAATACTTCATTATTATCTTTATAAAATGTTATATTATTAAACCAAAAATAAATTATTTCATTATTAAACTTAAATTAAATTATAAAATTTTTTATCTATACTATATTATAAAACATTTGATAAAAACTATTTTTTATTCGTAAAATATTGTTTATTAATGCATATTATTTAAAACTCAAGATTACAAGTAGATTGTGCGTAAGTATAACTTATTAAAGCTCCATATATGAATTCGTGTAACTAATTGCAGATAAACATAATCAAATACAAGATAAACATCTTATTTTTAAATATAAAAAGTCTAAAATATAATTAAGATAATTATTGAGTTCTAACAGAATACTTAATTATTATCTTTATAAGAAAATTATATTATTAAACCAAATATAAATT